ACTATTGATGCTTTCCAAGGCTTTTGCGAAATGAGTATAGTAGTAAATAGATAACAATCTGAAAGACCTTCAAAAATTACAGAAGAGAAAATCCGCGAAGTTTATGAGAATTGTGAAAATATGCCACTATCGAGTGTTCGGGTTGTTGCAATAGCCTGCTTCATTCTACGAACAATAGCAGACCGAATTATCACTGAATATCAACTAATGAGCCCATACAGGGTGTAACTTGTCGTACAACTTCATGAAGAATATTCGCAATATCGAGTTGAAATTATATCACTTTGATCCACACATTACAAAATATCCATAATGAGGAGAGCTCTTTTTTTTTCAGACAAAGACTCTTTTCATTTAAATGGCTTATCGATAAATATAAAGTGAACACCTATGTGTATAAGATATATATAAAGATTTAGTTATATTCAAAATAAGGACCGATACAGAAAAGAAATTAATTCGAAAATAAATTTCCTACAATATCTTTTTAAAGATTTCGAAAACGATAGATTTATGTATTTCAGTTTGGCGTAACCATTTTGAACATTTGTTATAAACTGAATTATGTGAAATAAAACTTTAAAGGACATATTAGCATATTATAAAAAAATCAATTAAATCGCTTGAGTTGTATAAGAGATATTTAAATTAACTTTCCGTCCGGACTTTTGGGACACCCTGTAATGATGTTTTTGCTATTATTAATATATGTATAAGAATTAAAACATGAACGAAAATAAGATTCAATTATTTAAATCATATCCATCCAAATATGTCCACTTATAATTGATGTTAAATCTGTTATAAAACGATGTAAACAAGTTAAATTTTTATGAATATATGTTGGATTAATAAGAATCCCAAAGTTGTGCATCATAACAAATATAATCAGATATAATTAATGTGTTTATATTTATTTTTTTCTGAAATATTTTCATATAAAAAATACGTATAATTTAAATATACGGAATTTATTGGAAATTGAAATATAGAATCAGAATTTTTAATATAATCATAAATAAAATTATTTACAAAAATGTTTCACATAATATTCCATGAATTTCTTTAATAAGTTGAGTAATTAAATCATTATGACATCGATATTTATTTTCTTCACATTCGTTTAGTTCCATATCAAAACAATATGCTTCATCTAAACCTTCATCAATATGTCCATTACATACTTCACGGCAATCAAGGCAGAAAATTTTTTCACTACGATCACATTTTATATGAATATAACATGGTAATTCTGTCGAACTATGTGATGAGTCACTAAATGATTTTTCAATATTAAATTCATTTGTTATTGACATATATATTCACTATATTCAAATGAATATTGACATTTGAAAACCAAAACATGGTTTTTAACAATTCTAGAATAATTCATCAGATAAAGATAAATCGATTTCATCTAAATACAATTGACACTTTTTCAACTAAATCAATTGGAGTTAACCATGATATTAATTCTTCAAATGTTAAATATTGATCTGGTCTGTTAATAAGATTTCGAAATAAACTTTTACTTGTATTTGTTGGTTGAAAACAATATGGAATCAATTCATTGATTACATTTGATACTTCTTGATAAGCTAATTTTTCCTTTGTTACACAATAATAAAGACAATCAAATTGTAAACTATTACCATCAAGTAATTCATAATTGACAATTGATTATCATCGATTGCCAACATATTATCAACAAAATAAGTATGTTCATCTTCGAACGATCTCAAATCTTCTCTAGGAATATTGAATATTCTATGAGTAGTATATATTCTATGAAGGAAAAAAGCAGTTTTTCAATATATCTTTTGAAAATTAATATTCCTTTGTGACATAATCAGACAAAAGCTATGACTATCATATATCAATATGTGTTCTTTTTCTATCAAAAAAAGAAATAATAGTGATTATAGTGACACTTTTCAATGACATCCTCCATACGTGCCATGTGCAGATAAATTGTAAGTCAAATATTGAATTCACTAGTTTCATATATGATTTTATGTCGAGATCGTCTTCATCTAAGTTTTCTCTCTATCAACTCATACTACGAATTCGGTGTCTTTTGTAATCTCTTTTAAGATTACATTATATGAACTCTGTATGAAGAAGAAAGAATATCAAAACAAATGGAAAAAAAAATGAAAACATATGAGTCAAGCAGAAACATACATCGAAGATGTAGAAAAGAGAGCAACTTATTATTATAAACATTCTCTACGATGTGGCTATTGACTATTGTAGAATGAAATGGTCGTAGCCATTTTTTCCTATAACTTTTAATCGACTAAGGTAATCGAGCTCAGGATTGTATAGTTGAATAGAGCAGACTCTAATATCTCTCTTTGTATAATTCATTTGAGTCTACAGACGTTTTTAAGATATTTAATACGTCGGTATTTTATTTTTGTATTATTTTCAATGAATTCTTTCGACATTTTGATTATAGTTATACTGTATTGTAACCGGAGTTTTGTTTTATATACGGTATAATTATCATACTTTAAAGTGACTTTGTTAAAGAGATGAGAACAAAAGAGTTACTTGAAGATGGCAAAATTTTACGATACATACAGGAAAATTCCGGCTACAATATGGTATAATGGGAATGAGAATGTCAAAGAAACTTATTGGAAAAACATGAAAACAAAATATCGGCATATAAATTTTCGCAAAAAATGTCTATAGATTCAAATGAGTGTGAGGTGCAGGTGTTCACGTCATTAAATTGACCTCCACACTGACTCCCACATTCAAATCCACACCCTCAAAGATAGATCACTGCGAAGCTTGTGTCTATATTAAAATTGACAAAGTCAATTTGTGAATAGCAAGAGTTAAGATTAGCAGATTGATTTGTCTTTTCGTCGGAAAAAAGGTCGATTTTTTTGAAATTGATTCAGGTATATCAAAAAAAAAGAAGTCTATTCAAAGGCATTTTCGATGCATAATCGATGAACCTGATTCGTCATATTCTTGTTTCGAAATCCACATTGGTTGAAAGGTTGATAATGATGCTAAAATAGAATGACCAATCCATACAGAATATTTTCTTTTAGGTGGTGCTATTATTCCGATTTCCATTGTTGATGGTGCCGATGATGTTGATTCTTTTCGTATAAGATCATGAAAACTCGGATACATTGTTGAACTCCCTGAAAGAATTGTATTAGCATATTAATCTCGACGCATGTCAATATCACATTTCATTATAGAACTATATATGTGACTTTATGAATACCTTTAAAAGAAACGAAACTTAAGCAAGAATAATGTTGTATTGTTAAAATTTTACTATCAATTTTCATTCCAAGAAAATTTGGTTGAAATAAAACTTCAGAACAATGAAATCGTTCATTACCAATAGTAATAACTACTTCATTAGGTAATTCATAACTTTTTCTAATGACTATAATAATGCAGCTGTAACCATTTCTTATTCAAAATCTAATGCAGCATAACATAGTTTTTCTTTTATATCGCGTACTATTTCACGTTCAGCAACTGTTATAAATGAATAACCACGTTCAGCTAAAATTTTCATTAGATAATCTGTTAAATCTCCTCCAGCTAAATCAAGACGAAGTATTGTATGTGGCATTGCATAATCTTCATAGATTGGTACTGTATGTGTTACATCATCACCTGAATTAAGTACAATATCAGTTGTGTGACCACTTGCATAAAGTGAAAGTATAGCTTCAGTAGCAATATACATTGGTATAGGAAAAGAAAAAAGAAAAAAGGAAATTATTTATGTAGTTATTTGAGATTGACTCAGCAGTTTTATAAATCTAATGAAAAAGAGTCTCTTCATTATTATTCTCCTGTTTTCTTCATGTATAGTTATGAAAAATAGATGATATTTTGATATATTTTGAAAAGTCTCACTAAAGATCAAAAGCAGGGATTGTTAAGACCAGAAGTCTGCTTCTTCGAAAAACTTTATTGTTGTCTTGTTAACTATTCACATTAAGCTTTAAGAACTTTTTAGCACTAAAATCAGACAGATGCGAGGAGATTAGTCTGACTGAGCCCTTTTTCATACTTCATGATCATATACATATACGAAACATTATCACTTATGGCACTCAACTGCCGATTGGGAGCTACAGGGTCAGATTTCCAAGTTGAATTATTTTCGTATTATTCGAAAGCTCTTTGATGGTGCTACAAGATGCTAAAGAAATTGAAAAACAATCATTGACAGCTATAAGTCACTAAAGGTTCTATCCGTCATCATTACGTATCATATGATCAGTGCCATGAACTACCTGATATTAGCATTGGTAATCTGAGACTATAGAGTTGCACCGCCAAGCTGAACTATAAATCATTCGAAAATTCTCTGGTAGTTGTGACTCACTAAGAGTCCTACTCATCATCTCTACGTATCATATGATCAATATGATGATTTACCTGATATTAGTATAAGTAATTGAGTGTGAGTGTGACTGTTGGTGTTCATCAAAACGAAACTTTCATTAGCACCCACACCTACATCCGGTCAAATTCTACAGCTCCCAGTAACTTTTACTAATATTAGCTATGTCATCATAATGATTGTATAATACACACAAGTGATCAATGAAATCCTTAATGGCTCATAGCTGCCAAGAATTTTGTTTTTGACTTTTTTGTCAACATCTTGCAGTATTATTAAAGAGCTTTTGAATGATATATATAGTTCAACTTGTCGCTCCAACTCCATAACTCATAATTATCTATACTAATATCAAGTACATCATCATAATGATTGTATGATGCATAGGAACGATCAATAGAATCCATAGTGACTCATAACTGTCAATGTTTTTTTTTGAAATTCTTTTAGCGTCTTTTAGTACTATCAAAGAGCTTTCGAATAATACGTAAATGATTCAATTTGACAATCTGACTCTGTAGCTTACAATTGACAGTTGAGTCCGATAAGTGATAATGTCTCATGTGTGTATATGATCATGAGTTATGGAAAAGGAACACAGCCAGAGTAAGCACCTCGTATCGATCTAACTTTAGTATTAAAAGGTTCTTAAGGCCTAATGTGACTATTTAACAACAAAAAATGAGACTTTTTGAGGAAACGGATTTCTGATGTTATAACGATCACCTTCCTTCTCTCATATTTTGTTTTAGTTTTTTGAATGATCAATTAAAATATTGTCATCTAAATTTGTATATTGGCACTCATGAAATCTTTTTGCGATGTTTTCATTATTGTAGGTCATTAAAAACTTATCAGTGGAAATTTACTTAACGATCATAAAATTGTACTTAATAATTAGTAAAAATTGATATTATAATAAAACAAAAAGAGAATGAAGCAAATCTTCGTTTTATTAAGCATACTCAGATTATTTTTCGTTATTAAACAATTATCTGATAATATGGATTTAAAAAAAAAAAAGTTAAGAAATTATACGAAAAAAAAAAACATAATGAACAATTTCATTCTATTCAGTTTCAGTATATGAAATTATACATAGATCTACAGTAGCTCATGCTAATAATGATTTAAAATAGAAAAAAAACAAATAATTTATTTTCTTGTTGAATACTATGAAAACAAACATTGTTTCAATTGGTAATGAAAACCATCACTTGAGTTCTAAAAAAATTAGTTCTATTTGAGATCATCTACATTCATTGTTAGATTTTTCTGGTTTAATAATGAAGAAGGATATTCTAAAATAAAAAAGTGAAACAGTATTTCTCAGTCATAATTCCTATTTAAGATATACAAAGAGAATGTGTTCGTCGTTTTGAATTATTTTTGAAAAATAAAGAAGTTTCACTAGTATTAGAACTAATATCTATTTTAGTTGATGAAAATTTCCTTCTCTTTTGAAAGAAACAAATGTTTTGAAGATAACAATATATACATATTTTCTTTATTAAGATTGTCAATAGTTTTTATTACTATTGATGTTGAATATTGTATAATGAAATAGTAATAACTCATTTTTTGTAATTGTAAAAACTAATTTTAATTGTTTGTTGAAAATAATTATGAAAAATATTCTCATCATTACAAAGATCATGATGTAAAATGGTTGGTGTATTATCTTGTGTTATTATATGAAGTTGTTTTATATGTAATATTCTTGAGCTAAAACAAATGAAATATTTAAAATAAATTATTTAAATAATAATATAATAACTTAAATCAAAATGATATTTGTCATCAAAAGGACTTATATTTCTCAATACTGTTGTATATTTTAATAATGGTGAAATGTCTATAGACGAATTTCTCAGATAAATAGTGATTTAATTTAATTATTTTACAAATATCTCGACTCAAAAATCTTCCTACATTTTTCAATCTTTCTAACAAAAGCTTTCGTCAATTTTGCCTAAGATTCTTTTGAATAAAATCTTGATAAAAAATTTTTATTTAAAACCAACATCAGCTCTTCTTTTTTTCTTATTTAGAAAAATGTTGTAATGAATATTTGTAACGTTTTAGAAATTATATCGTTAAAATTTTTGATGTTTAACATTTGAATATTCTATTGAACAACAACAATATCTCGTTATGCCTTGATATCATGCTTGTTAGATTGATCAATTTCAATGATCATGTCTCACTTGATCTATGTAACATTATATTACTTATTGGTCAAATATATTAATAGCTCTTAGTTTGAAAGAAAAATACATGAATTTTTATCTTAGCTAGTATCTACTGAGGAAATAACTGAATTCTATATATCGATATTAATATTAATATAAATATAATTAATGAACACAACTCGAATTTATTCAATAGAATTTTATTACAAATTTTTTTGCAATTCTTTATATGGTCGGTTAGCAGAAGGTTCGATTTCATAAACCATGAACAAATGGTTCCTTTATCTATTTCTTAAATGACAACTACTTATATATATGAATAATTAGGAGAAAATTTCAAGAACACTTGGAACAAATATAATGAGATGAAAAAGACCAAAGTTATATCAAAAGAAAAGAAAAGAAAAAAAACACATGTATATCGTACGATTTATGTGTACGATAGCAGAATAGAAGAAAAGACGAATACCTGACACAACTTAGTTACACCATAACATGATCCACACCCACATATGAGAATATAGATTCACAGCAAATTTAATAGAGAAAAAAAATGTTGACAAGTCTACATATACGTATATCTCAATAAATATTACCCAAACAGGCAAATTGTATCTGTCATAGTTTTTACTATATAAAAAGAAATATTTTTTCTACAACTGAACAATAATATCATAATAGAACAAAGAGACGCTCAAATTTTTCGTCTTTGTATTTTTTTTATTTTCATGAATCTGGATGAACAAGCCAATTAACATGTTTTATGAAAATCGATTAATAAATAATCCCATTTTATTTTCCACTACCAGTGGTTGTATGTTTCATTCTTTTAACAGGTTTTTGCCGTTTTTGATTTGATCTATTACAGAGCATATAATTTCATTTTTGCTTTTTTTTATTAACTTACTTTTTTGCTTTTAGAAGACGCCGATGTTCATTTAAAAGATTTAAAAACTCTTCTTTTTTTTGTTGTTTTTCAGTCTTCAGTTGATGTAAATTATGCTGCACTTGTTCTAATTCATGACATATTCGTTCCAAGTTGTTTTCAAATCGATCAATTCTCTCATCATAATTTTGCATGGTGGTTTCATTTTGTTTCTTTAATTCACGCATATAATCATCTTCAAGATCATCATCATCGTCAAACAAAGTATCTTGTTTTGCCGTAATATTTATAACTACATCTGTTGATGATGACGGTAAATTTGGTATCGGACAATCATTTCGAAATGGTGGTTTATCAACGTTTATCTGGTAATCACTTACTGATGGTTTGAATGTATTTAATAATTTATTCTCTTTAAAAGGTGATCTATCATTTATAATTTGTTGATTTGTAGTTAATGGTGGTGAATCATTTATTAGTGCCATACTAAAATAAACAAAAGTTCTAAGTACTAGTTATTTATTAATGATTGAATGCTACGTTTCCATTTGATTATTTAATGCTTGATTATTTAATGCTTGATCATTTAATGATTCAGCACCTAATTGTTGATCATTTAATGATCGTTCACCTGATGGTTGACGATTTAATGATTGTTCGCCTAGTGGTTGCTTATTTAATGATTGTTTATCTGATGGTAGATTATGTGGTTTATCCAAATTGTTTGTTGTATCTTCATTAATTATTTTGGGAACATGAGGCCGCCGAGGATCATTTGGAATGTCTACATATAATAATAAAATATTATCTATAAAAAAAGCATAATTTTATCTTTTTTTTGTGAGACCTACCTTCTTCCTCGAAATAAAATACCATGACAAGTGGCACATTTGAGTTGGTGGTGGTCTTTGTGCTGGTGACAACATCAGTTGGTTGCTTTGTTAATATATGACGCAATTTTTTACGTACACATGGCTTAACTGGTAGTTTAGTACCATCCATAACTACGTTTTTCCATCGTCTATCTAGCTTGCTCGAGATAATTTCCTTCATATCTTAAACGAAATGATAACGAATTTCAATATATATATATAGCAAATTTATAATTATTAAATCGCAAACAACAATAAATTATATTGTGTTTGTGGCTATTGTTCATTTAAAATCTTTGTTTCTTTTGATTTAGTGTTATCGTGCTAATTGATTGGTCAATCATCCAGTACGAATATAAAATCAATAGAGAATAACAACGAAAGATGTCATAAAAACTGTAATAACTACAATAAACAATTGTGTGAACGAATGGCTCGTTCGTGGTTGAACATTTTACTTGAGTGCATCCAGTTTTATGCATTGACAAATGAAAATCGTTTATATTTCTACTATGTTTTAAACGTAATCTTGAAATATTTGTCACAGGCAAAATTGGTTTTTTCTTTGGGGCTTCTATGAATTTCAACTTTGCCTAGGCAGAATTCATTAGCTATTTATACTTAGGGTGGTCCAAAAGTTCTGGCCACGGAGTTTTAAATTCATTAAAATACTCAGTTTTGAAAGTTTTATTGCATAAATAGTTAGTAAAATATCTCGTCTATAATTATACATATAAC